GAAAATATCATTGAAAATGACATGGATCATTTGGAAACGTTATCTTGTTACAAGTAAATCTTAGTCGCTGAAAATAGAACATAGGTCCCTATGAATAATTTTCTATTGAATAGGAAATACAGTACACACTTCATTATAGAAGCGAAAATTTTCCTTATCCATTTAAAACAACGATGAATTGTTTTATATGTTAATAAGTGGCCTATAAATAATGGGACACTTGACTTTCTGCTTTTGAAAAATTGAAATATTGTTCACAGGTACCGTTCGAATCTCATTCACTAGAGAATGTTCTACTCTACAAAAATGTGGAGTTCATTTTTTAAGTAAATTTTTCTTGATAGCTGTTTCACTATCTACCCTTGATGGTATGTTGTTTTGAATATGCTTTCGAAATTCATATTTTCAAAAGTTTACCTATTCTATAAACAGTTTATCATTGTATCATCGGATGTAGAATTTAATTTTGAACAAAATGATGTAATATTTAAACTGAACAATGAAAATCTTTAGATTATCTCCAATGACATAGAGCTGCCAGAAAGAATCTTTTGTGTCATGTTCTAAGTTTTGCTTGAAAAATTTCTGTTCCAATTTTTTTTTTCTAAAATTGCAAAACATCTCGAGATACGGCATTTCACGACGTATCTTGTAGTATATTTTTTTATAATTATTTTGTTTTCTTACAGTCATAGTTCAATCGTTGTGTGAGTGTCAATCTTTTTGATGGAATTTATCTGAAGAACAAAGTCGAAAGTTTTATAGAGCGAAAAATCCTCTATTGAATGAACTTAAGATAGTGTCTTCAAAAAAATCAAAGTGCCTCATTCTTTATGGACCATTCATTATAATAGTATCGGCGTCATTACTTTTCATAGACTCTACACGTAATTTCGAACATCAAATTCCATTATTCCCTCATAAATGCTTCATTTAAAGTTTAGAAATTCATTATACAAATAATTAAATCATAAAAAATTTTTCACTTTTTAAGCTTCTACATTTTAAATTTCTTCAAATATTAATGTCAAAAAAACAAAAAAAAAAACTTCTGAAAAAAATTTTACCTGTCCGGCAAGGAAATTTTCTTCAGCTAATTCTCCTTGTGGTGCAATATTAACATTAGCACCAGCTTCAATAAGTGCTTGAACAAGTTCTTGATTACCTGATTCGGCACAAAGTAATAATGGTGATACACCATAACGATTTTGTACATTAACTTGTGCTCTTTTTTCAATTAAAAATTTTACAACATCAATACGATCTTTTAATGTAGCCATAAATAGTGCTGTTTGACCAGTTATATTTAAATTATCAGCATCTGGACCACTTGGTGCAAAATCAAGATCAGCATCAGCTTCAACACATGCTTCAATTACATCTAAATCACATATTTCTGATGCAAGTAAAAATGGTGTTGAACCTAATTTTGTTACTGCATTTGAATCAGCACCACGTTTAAGAAGTAATTTAACAACATCAAATTTTCGTGATTTCATTGCTGCATAAAGTGGTGTCCAACCAGTTATATTTAATTCATCAGCTAGATTACCAAATGGAGCAATATGTGTTTCAGCGCCAGCATCTAATAATAATTCAACAACTTGTAACATGCCTTTTTGTGATGGAATCCATAAAGTACTAACACCATAATGATTTTGAACACGTGGATTAGCTCCACGATCTAATAAATATTTAACAATATCTGTACGACCTTCTTTAGCTGCACAAAATAATGGTGTTTGTCCACATAAATTCATTGTTAATGCTAATGGACCTAGAAATAAATTAATTCAAAATAATAATAATCATTTCAATGTTTAATAAATATATTGCTAAAAGTTTCTTGAAAATTATTCTTACCACTTGGTGCTAATTCAAGATCAGCTCCAGCTTGTACAAGTAATTTAACACATTCAAAATAACCTTGTTCAGCTGCAAGCATTAATGCTGATATACCAGATTGATTTTGATGATTTGGATTAGCATGATATGTTAATAAACGTTTAACACATTCAGGATGATTATATTTAGTTGCACCAATTAATGGTGTTGAACCAGCTATTTTATTATCTTCAGCTCGTTTACCAGATGGTGCAGAATCAACAAGAGCACCACGTTGTAATAGAATATCAAGTATATCTGGCCAACCAACTTCGGCAACCATTAATAATGGTGTTATGCCGGATAATGATGCTTTGTTCACGTCGACTTCGGAACATGCTATACAAAAGAAATAACAATACAACGCAAAAATAGGGCTAAATAGTCATACAAACTCACTAGCTAAAGTTTCAGTAATAGATTTATATTTCTTTCCAGCTGCTATACTCAATGCTGTTAAACCGTCTGCTTCACGATAACCTAAAATAAGAAAAATTTTATTTTCAAATAAAAAATTATTTATTTATTTAAATAAATGAATATATGTAAATTATTCATAAAGCATTGCAAGACTTAAATAAAAATAAGTTCTATTAGTATATACGAAAGATCTGTCTCCCCTATCATATATTGATGATATATAATATATATCAATATCTAAAGAATGTTTTTGATGTATAGAACCACGAAAAAGATTTGATGGTAATGATATATAATGATAATCTCTTATTTCATGTGCTTGATTAAGTGTCATTGTATAATAATGATCTATTGTTATTTTAACATAAGAATATAAATAACATATATAAAAATAAAAATGATGATTATATGTTGAATCAATATCAATAATAAGATCAAATGATTTTGATAAAGATAAATTTATATAATTTGTATAAGGTATTGATGTAAGATTCCATATATATTTTAATTTATATAAACGTGAATAATCATTATTTAATACACGTTTAATATGTGGTGTTAAAAATTTAATTTCTTCTCGATTATATGTTAAAATTCCATTTGTTTCATTTTCAATATCAGATAATTGTGTATAAATCATAGCTGATAAACGTGATGAAAGATTAATAATAAGTTGTTCAAATATATATGTTAATAAATAATTATCACTATAACTATTATAACTCCAACCGGATTTCATTAAACCAAATCCACCACATTCACCAAGTACTAATGCTCGATTTTCATCATCAAATGATGGTAAGAAAATTTTTTTTGTATAATCATGTATATCTCTCATATGTCCAAGATTTATTCGATCTTGCCATCCACTAGCACTATTTATTAAACGATTTTTATCATAAGATTGTAACCATTTTGTTAAACGTATTGTATCATATTGACCCCATCCTTCATTAAATAATACCCAAATAATAATTGATGGATGAAATGAAAGAAAATCAATCATAGCTTTTAATTCATATTCAAATTGAATTTTAGCTTGAAAAGTTTTTATCGGAAGTATTAATCGATTTTGAGATAAATCTTCATATATTCTTTGAGCTAATGGTAAATCATTTGTTGTATTATCACGATGTAATCGTAATATTTTATCATCTTCTAATTCAATTTCATAACCATCATAAGAATCTCCTGCAGGCATATCTTGCCAAACAAGTATACCTAATACATCACACCAATAATAAAATCGTGATGTTTCAATTTTCATATGTTTTCGTATTGTATTAAAACCTAAATTTTTTATTTGTTCTATATCATATCGATATGCTTCATCAGTTGGTGCACGATAAAGACCATCAGGCCAATAACCTTGATCAAGTACTCCCGACATAAAATATGGTTTATTATTAAGACAAATTTTTTTCTTTTTAGAACAAAGAGAAATTTGTCTAAAACCTATATAACTATCAATACGTTCAACAAATATATCCATTCGATATAAATCAATACGAATCTGATATAAATATGGATTTTCAGGTGACCAAAGATTAATTTGATTTAATGCAAAAGAAATTTCTTGTTCAATATTTGGTTTATATGATATAAAATGAATTAATTTTGTATTATTTTTTTGTCTAATACTTATTTTTAACTTAAAATCAAGTTTTTCATAATTAGCTATATTTTCATTTAGTTCGTTATTTTGTTCTACATCTAATAAATATTTATTTTCTTGAGTGAAATTTTTTTCAGAATAAATCGGTATATTTTCATTTGGTGAACGATTATCAAATACAGTTGTTGTTGCTGTTTTTAAATCAATACGATATTTTAAATAAACATCTGTTAATGAAATTTTTGTTTGAAATTGTAAACGATTGATATGAATATATGGTACTCGTTCTAACCAAACTGTTCCCCATATACCTGAACATGGAGTATAATATATTGAATTGGATTCTTTAATATCTAATAATTGTTTTCCACGTGGTTGATACCAATGATTTGATGGATCCCAAACACGTACAATTAGTTCATTATCTTTATACTTAATAAAATATGATGATATATCATATGAAAATGGTTCATAACCACCTAAATGTTTTACGCCAACTATATGACGATTTAAATATACAACAGTTTCATAATCAACTTTATCAAAATGTAAGATTAGACGATATTGAAGATGACTATCTTCATACCAAGATCGAGATTTTATTTGAAAATTTCTTTTATACCATAGATACATTTTTGAATCAACACGTTTTTGAATACCAGATAAATAAGATTCAACAGGAAATGGTACACGAATAATTTGATCAAAATTTTTCGGATATATTTCTTTGATTGAGGTTATTGTAAATGACCAATATCCATTTAAATTTAACCATAATTTTCTTCTTAAATGTGGACGTGGATAATCATTACGAAATGGTATTTGATCTTCCATAACTTGTTTTGTCCATCGTGTTGAACTATTTGTCATAAGTTTTATCGGTAATGTAAATGAAGAGGTAGATGTCGATGTAGTAAAAATAGGTAGAATAAAATGCTCATCAGAGAAAAGATAAAATTGATAAAATAAAGTAATAGAAATTCCAAATATAATAATATTCTATGAGAATTTTATTTATATTACAAAAGAAAACTCATTTTAATCGAAAAGAAAAGAAAACTTTTAAAATTCTTCTTTTTTTTTACATACCCATATTGAGCACTTCTTTCTTCGTTGTTGACGCTTTACGACGATCCAATTCATCAAGTATATCTTTAAGTCGTTTAACATCTCCTGTTTGTACAACTCCGAATATTTCTTGATGATATCGTTCTAGATCACTCTCAACTTTGTTTGCTTTCGCACTTGTACAACCCATACTGTCTGAAATAGACCGAACGAGGACGATAAAAAAAAAAAAAAAAAGAAAAATGATATGATTTCATTACATGAATGTACATATACAGTTTGATGACTAATTGAAATAAATCTATAAAAAACAACGAAGGTTAATAATCATTATCAAGGTAATAGTATCATTAATGATTTTTTGTTAAGAAAATATTAGATTCATATATATTACTCAAAAAGAGAAAAAAAAAGTTTTGACCAACCGAGCGGAAAATAAGAAAAAAAAATATTCTAGAACTAAATGTATGTTTTTTTTTGATGTTTTACATCCTTAATGATTGTATCTCTATATTATATTTATAGACATAACATTACATTTACTCATACTATATATAAAACATTAAAAAAAAAATGATTCACAGTTATATACATTTATGATTAGTTTTATAATATGTATACACATAATGGACGAACACATGAGATATATAAATCTAACAGTAATAAACAGCAACAACTTTTATACTAGAGAAAAAAAAAGACAGAAACATAGAAATATAGCAGTAACAACAACAAATATGAGTCAGACAATATTCATTTCTATATGAATTATAATAAATTTTAGAATATTATATATGAAAAGACAAAAAAAAAACGCAAGTTGAAGAAAAGAATATTTGAAGTTTTTCTTTTTTTTTTTTTTTGTGTATGTTTGACATTTGTCAATCTATAGATGTCACTTTGAAGATATGAAAGTTTTTGTGTTAAGAATTTTATTTTGTTACAAATGAATAACAAGAAAAAAATCAAAGAAATTTGAACAAAAATTCAAAAAGTAATTATTTTTAATTATACATTAAAACAACGAATCAATAATAGAAATAAATAATAAATGTCAAACTAAATAAACGTCACTCATAACATTAAGTGTCACATTTTAGTAAAATACTCTTCGTAATAGAAAACTTCAAGTTTTTTATTATGTTTCATTTATCTTCAAATTTTTTTTTAACTAAAACAATTTTAAGTATTTTAGAAGTCGAGAAATAATATTCACCTTATAGTCGTTTAATTTCAAAGCCAGATTATTTATTTAATTATTTCTTCTGAAACAAAATTTTATTATTTAATAGATACTATCGACTGTATAATATTACTAACAGATCATGAAATTCGATATATATATATGAAAAAGTTGAAAAAAAATAACATATGATGCAAAAGTAATGAGATAATTGTCGTATATAATTTATTTTTATCACAATATTCACAATATAAAATATCAATTCTTATATCTCTTTCATAAATATGTGTTGAAATAATAATTTTTTTTCTTTACTAACTAAAAAGAAATTTTCTTCTCTTGTTTCGAACTGTATTACAACTTTATTTGGTTATGCATTAACATAAATAAAATGACATAAAAAGAAAGATAAATACTTGTACAACAAAATTTACATTTTTTTATATTGATTCAGTAAATAAATCGTATAAAACAACAGTTAATTATTTTATAAAGCAAGGCATTTCAAAAGAAGAAAAGCATACTAATTACCAAGTCTAGAAGTACTGGTTCTGATATTTGTGTTTTTTAAGAAAGTTATTCAGTATGGTCAACATCTTCATCTTGTTCTTTTTTGTATTCTTAATAAGATGTATAGATTCTTTTGATAAAGAATTATTGTTGATAGGCTGTTCCAGAATCTATGAGAAAGTGTATTTGACCATCGCACCTGATCGTCATTATACTCAAAACCATTTTTAGTAAAAATTCAGTTTGTAAATTAATCTCCAGTCTTTTTTTTCATAACTACACGAAGAAAAAATAACTAATGAAGCTACTATTGGTAAACAACAGTAAATATTTAAATAAGAAAAATATAAGAAATATGTCATAGTGATATTAAAAAAAGTCAGGATAAGAGAAATGTCACGAATGCATAAAATCAATCATTACTTCTACGTGTAAGTATCTGCCGCTTCTTAATATAGTATTAATTGTAGGGGATCATTACCTCTAAATATTCATAGCTTTGATATGTACTAAATATTTTCTATCAGAACAAAGAGTAGAACAGAGCAAATATCACTGAAATTGGAAGTACAACCAGAAATTTCAACTTGAATTTGATACCAAAGGACTATAGATTTTTTTGGAATTTTTCAGCTCGAAACCTGACATATAACATTAATGTAAATATACCAATTGACGTTCTCATTTTGCGAGAAATTAATTTATTGAGAAAATTATTCCTATTACATCCGGCAGATTGTTATTCCAAGAGGAGAAGTTTAATAGACTTTTGCATTTTCGATTGATTATATGAAATACGGAAATATGGATTTCTATTTAAGATTTAAACATAAGAAAGTCTTCAAGGTAAAAAACAAACAAACAACCAATATATTGAAATAATTACTAATTGTTACTAAAATAAATATAGATTCAATACACCACAGTGCCTGGAAAGAAAATATGAAGTCATTTGATATACTAATATAACCGTAAAATGTAAGTGCAAATGATAGTTACTAAAAATACATATCATCATGATTTAATCATTTTTTTTCGTATTCGCGACTGACATTCATTGATTTCGTTCGTTTCGAAATGTTGTTTTAACACGATGATTTAAATCAAAATGGAATAAAAGCGAATGTAATATAGAACAGTTTGTTTTCTCAAGGTTCATTTGTCAAGAATATAATTCAAAATCTAGAGAAGTAAATGTCATTTGAAAAGTTTATACATATTCGTTGTGCTTGTTTTAAAAGAGTCTTTTTGAAAAAAAAAAGTAAGAAGGTTAGAATAAATGATATGTACGTTTATTTATAATTACAAATGAAAAGAATGTAACGATAGGTCTTTATTTCATGATAAGATTTTGCTGCAAATAAGAATTTATGTATAATAATAATGTCATAGGAAAACAATAAAATCAATGAATAATTATATGAATAATGAAAATGTATATTCGAGGATGACTAGAATGATTCGAATACTTATTGAAATATATTTATTATTTTGAATATTTAGTTCAAGTAAAAATATTAGTTTCATCAATGAATAGAAATCGAACATCGTCCATAGACAATGTTATAATTTAGATAATTTATTATTTGTCAATTTTTACTTTACTTCTCTTCCATCACATTGAATGGTTACAAGATGAACAAAATGTTCTCATGAAAGAGGTAAAGATGTCAATATTGAATTGGTATGACAGGTTATCAACAATGATCTACACTCAACTTATGATAATATTATAGCTGAGACTTCTCTCTCTCTCATAGTACAAAAGAATGATTTATATATGATTGTCTAAAGATGAGAAATGTTGGATGCCTCATCAACTCAATGATGAATAAAAGCAAGAATGAGTTAGAATTTATTGTCAAAATTTTGTGATGGATCATTGCGATTATGTAATATTATTATAGATGATGAGGCATGGATTTATCATCGACAGGTTGGGTGCACACGGCAACTAACGCAAGTTAGATGGGTGAAGATGAATCATCAACGATTATTAGTCATCAAAGTAGATTTAGACTAAAAGCTTTGTTTTGTATATATTCTTTAAATGAATCAATCCTGTTCTTATACATAATGTAGATATAGGCAAAACTATAGATCATATCTATTATATTGAAAATTGTTTCAAACATGTTGTCAATGCAATTTGGAAACAAAGAAAGTCATCAAGTACAAAAAATAGAAAATATCTTCGACTTCATACTTGTCCTGATGTTATTAATTATTTAATACAAAAAGATATCAATACAATGTCACATCGGTTGTAGGAGGTAATGGACTGCGTGGAACCCTCAAATGGCAAGATGCTCTCGAAATGTGTGTAGTTTGGAGTATGAATATTCTGCAGTATTCTTACAGAATCCAATTTTTCAGATTTGTGGAAAAAGTTTTGTTATTTGTTTATGTTTTCGTTCAGCTTCTGATTTTATTTGTAGTTTGATAATGAATTTTTGTTCAGAGAGAATATGAAACAGTTATTGTATGTTCTGTCAAAATGATTCAATTGTTTTGTTGGGCTTAGTTCGTTGTTCTAGTAATTCAAGTGAGCATCTCGCAAAGTCATTCGAATTTTCTGGAAATTCATAAAAGGCACCGTACGTTATTTTTATATTTTTATTTAATTTTATCATAACGTTTAATCAATCCTAAGTATATGTATTCATTTTATCTATTACTAATCGAATTGTTATTTTTGTTGGTCTTACATTTCGAATGTTAACAGGTTGGACAACTTATTTTAACAAGTACGATAAGATTATTATGTAGATTTTGTATTTAGGTTTTTTTTTTGAATATCACGAACAGTTGTTGTAAAATTTATTGCGTTAATTAAATCTATGATAGTTCCAATCTTGAGAACTATTTAATAGTTCTTTTGAAAAGAACTTAATTGCCTCATAGAATTATTTTGTTTATAGATACATAATTTTTTCAAGCAGTTTAGTCACACATCAATATTCTTGTCTGATCTACAAGTTTTTGTGAATCAGACAAGAATCGAATAGACTGAATCTTGATGAACGAAACAAGAAATCTGTAATCTGAAAAGAATCTTACAGCAGTTGAAAATCAATTCTAATTCTTTTTCATCATAGAATAGGAAAATATCTTGTCTAACCTAGCAAGATTCTAAAGCATTATTCTTATGATTAGTATAAGTCTGTTATAATTTCATTTTCATTGCTACAGGATAGTCGAAAAACTTCGACTCCTCTCAGAAAATTAATGATATCTATGACAAACTTATATGAACTGGAACAGCCGATATGATACCCCAATTTGGTTTCTTTCTATCATCAGTTAATAATCTATCCATATCCGGGTCAAATTATCACTCTCATCGCTAACCTATTCAATTTAAACTATTAGTTGTTGATGGCTGTCTTAAACGAAATTATTCAGTTCCTTAAAAACGATAGGACACAATTCTAAGAATCAAATAATTTCGTATAAGACAGCCATCAACGGTTAATATTTTTAATTGTATAGGTTAGCGATGAGAGCGACAATTTGACTCGACTATGGTTATGCTGTTAACTGATATTAGAAAGAAAGCAAATTGAGATATTATGTCGGCTGCTTACGCCCATATATAATTAATTGGTTGAAGTATGCAATTTTGTAACTAATGTTGAGTGAATGTGTTCATTTTACAATTTTTGAGAAAAATTAAAAAAAAATTTTCTCTTCAATAAAATAGTATCTAAATGATTTATGAATGTATCAGATTGACATTTTGTATAAATATCAATAATCAAATTTTATGATGTATTGACCTTGTTTTCAGACAATTGCTTTTAACCTTTTCCGAAATACTGTTAATCATTCTCTCACATTTTCCTATAGTAAAATTTTTCTATATATCAATAATTTTTTTCTTTGACATTTTCATATTTACTTAAATTTTATCAAGTTGTCGAATGGCTATATATCTATAAGAATAAATTGGAAACAATAAAATTTATAGAATAAAACTGTTAATATGAAGTGTTATAAAACTGCAATTATAATCAGTAAATATGATAAATATTATTCTATTAAAATAATTAGTCTGATAACAAGATCTCTGTGAGCAAAAAACATACAAAATATTATGAAATTTATTTTTAAATTTTCCTCAAAAAATGTATAGATGAAAATATTCATTCAAGATTAGTCAAATGAGTACTACATTTATGTATTTCGAAGTATCTTGTTTTTTTTTAGATGATAGCACGAATTTTTACATATTTCAAACAATTAACCATATTCAAGTTTCTCTTAGATATTATCGATTTACTGAGAGAAGCTTGAAACTATTCGACTATCCTTTATTTTATTCTTGAAGTTTTCACAAGAATTACAACCATTAAAAAAATGAACTGAATTGCACAAGTCTAGTGTTGATAACGGTCGATCGACGGCTTTAATCTTTGAGTATCGTTGTTAGATTATGATAGTTAGGGATTTCTAAATTTTTGTGAATACTCTTAATAGTAAATGCTTATCGACCGACAATTTTAAGATTCTTCTCTTGCATTGTTCATAAGATATAAATGTTTCATTTCTCTCATCATAAAATGCTAATAACTCATAACCCAAAAGTCATAAAGACATTACTTTTTTACTAAAATGTAGCTCTGACTATCCTCTGTCTACAGTATCAAATTAAAGTATTAGCTCTTCATAATTTCTGAAATACAGATATTTTGCGATCGAGCATCTCTTTTGAAGTTTGAGATCCTCTTCCGAAAAAATTCAAAACTTACCTGAGGAATACTATTTTTTACTTCAAAATTGTTTTTCCACTATTTACACAATGTATGAGAATGAGCTAGTATATAAGTCAAGAAATTCATTGAAGATAAACACTCATGATTGGAACATACATAGAGAGATAAAGATATGAATTATCAAGAATCGTCCATTCTATCTTATCTTCTGTAGTTAATATCTATCATAATCATATAAACATATAATAATTATAATATAGGGCGAAAATATTCATAGGTTAAATGTTGTCAATAGGACTTCACATTCATCCTAACCGTAAGTCTTTTCATTTTTTCACTTTCTATATAAATACAAACAAAAATTATACAAAAATTGCAAATCTCTAAAATAAACGTATAGAATTCTGTACGTTGGTTTTAAATCGATTAATCTTATGAGAATAATTATTTTTGATAAATAAGTACATTAAATAATGTTAATCAAAGTATAATTATAATTCTTTTCTGTTTCACATCTATCTATCTATCTTATTTTATTCTAATTTTATAAAGAAAATCTATATGATGCTTCTTTGACATGTAATAGTAAAACAAAGATATATTATGTTTTGATTGACCTAATATATTCATTGATTATCATATCAATTTTAGTATTCCTAATGATTATATTTTTACATTAATAATAACGTTAAAATATACGTTGAATGCAATGAATTAGTACAACCAAAAACTTTATTTACTTTTCTAATAACTATTTAAAAAAACTTTATATATATATATATATATATATATATATATATGCAGTATAAACAGTTTGTCTTTATTAAATCTAGTAAATTGTATAATACGAAAATTGAAATTATAATAATTTTGATATCTACTTAGAATTGATCAAAAGTTCTGATACTATCAAATAAAAGTATAAACAATAACGAGATAATTTTTATTTTATTTTATTAAATATTCAACA